CCTCCCAAGCTCTGCCTGCCTCCCTCCGTGCCTGTCTCCCTCCGTGCCTGCCTCCCTCCCTGCCTCTCCCTCACAAGCTCTGCCTGCCCACCTCCCTCCCAACCTCCCACTGATTTGTGGCAGACGTATCTTTGTAAATTAATTTAAAGGCTGAAGCGTGATTAGCTAGCTACATGTCGTAAAATCTCCTTATAGACATTTTCTGTGATAAAACAAGGTGAGTGAGGGTGGACAGATAAGGGAATACTGTTCTGTAAACCTCACTTGGTTTTCCTTCGTCTGTGTCGTTATAGTTCAGTGACCCATGACTTTGAAAGTTTCAGACTAATAAATCATTTCTAAAACCAATGCTTTAATAGCTTTTTATTATCCTAATTAAACTAAACTAAATAAAACCGAAAATATACTGTAATATGATAGACATCTGCTATTTGAGAAATTATTTGTTATTGGAACAACTCCAGCGTGAGCGAGTGGACGGGTCTAATCCCTGTACACACACACCATGCGTTTCTCGTTTCAATTCGTCGCCACAGTTCAGTGACTACGGCTCCGAAATAATAAAATTAATAAATCATTTAATCAATGGTCATTTAACAGATGATGAGATTATACAAAATGTTACTGGCACTGTTGACGTTCCCAGCACCAGCACAGCCGTACCCAGCACCAGCACAGCCGTACCCAGCACCAGCACAGCCGTACCCAGCACCAGCACAGCCGTACCCAGCACCAGCACAGCCGTACCCAGCACCAGCACAGCCGTACCCAGCACCAGCACAGCCGTACCCAGCACCAGCACAGCCGTACCCAGCACCAGCACAGCCGTACCCAGCACCAGCACAGCCGTACCCAGCACCAGCACAGCCGTACCCAGCACCAGCACAGCCGTACCCAGCACCAGCACAGCCGTACCCAGCACCAGCACAGCCGTACCCAGCACCAGCACAGCCGTACCCAGCACCAGCACAGCCGTACCCAGCACCAGCACAGCTGACCACAGCACCAGCACAAAAGCAGCTGAAGCCAACACAGCAGCAGCGAGCACCAGCAAAGCTGATGCAAACATCTAAAAACATCGTGTGTGAAGTGAACAATTAAAATAAGTGTTAAATTCAAGTGTGTACATAGTGTTAAAATTAAAGTTGCAATAATTCTAATGTACAATAGTTTTCAAGAACTGTATTGTAGTACTCAACATACAGCAAAACCACTTTTAATAATACAGTGCTAACGGCTTAATGCACTGCAGTACCTATTTACTGTAGAGCATTCACAACTTCACAAAACTTCAAGATGGACATAACTCCAACAATAAGGTAAATACATGAATTACAGTATTTTTAGTAGAGTAGTAAAATATAGGTACAGTAAGTAATATGATACAATGCATTTTTATTGTGTACAAGAAAAAAAAAAGACACTGACGCAAACGCCTCTTGAAGGTCACCTCTTGCAACGAATCCAACGCTCCAACGAACTGGGGGTGGTCCCATATAGTACGTTGAATCGAGGTTGTACTGTACTTGAGTGATTTTGCTGTTTCCCTGTGGTTGGCCGCCCCACCTGCTTGATCAGCTCCGAAGTGTACATAGGTGTGAGCCAGGGTGGATACACATGTGTAGTCCCACACCAGCTGTCTACCCTCCTTCCATGGGTATATGGTGATGCCATCAGGGCAAAGTGCGGGGAAATCCGGGTTTTGGACCCCTAGGATGCGAGGTTCTCTCTCCGCTGGGCACCCAGCTGAGACGAGGCTTCTCTTGATGATGTCATTGACCTCGTTGTGTCTTGCATGCCAGCCCTTTGTGCTTCCGCAATGCAACCCATGCAGTCCGTATTGGTCTGCTTCCACCCTGTTGCAAATACACTTGTATTCAGTGTGAATTGGGGCACCAAGGCGGAGGGCTACTGCTACACGAAGGGATTCTGGATCTAGGCGCGTGCCCATTGCTGACATGGGTACTGCCAGGAGGAAGTCTCCTGCATGGGGGGCACGCACTGCTCTGAGGCGGGCTTTCTCCTTGTATGATGTTGCGACGCTGAGCATGGCATCAGCTCCTTTTTCCACTAGAGGGTGGTCCCAGCCGGACTGTTTGTGTTGTTTTGTTGGCTCTATAATGGTTGCTGGGGCTGCAAGAACATCCCACTGATTTGAACATTCAGTGAAAGCAGGATCGTGTATTCCTGCTGAATCCCTCAGGGTTGCAGGTAAAATATCTCTGACGACGTCGTGCGATGCATGAGAGGAGGAAAGGAAGGCTGGTAGAGCAATTTGGGAGGCTGTGCGGACACCAAGGCCGCCGAGTCTTACAGGAAGGGTTGCTTGCTCCCACTGAGAGTCGTCCAATGGCAGGTTCAGGACTTTCACCAGCATGGACTCAGAAGGTGTCATACACATTTAACTTAGGGCTGCTGTAGGATGGAGAACATCTCAGAAAGTAGGTCAACTTAGGGAGAGACAGGCATCTTGTAAGGAGAAAGAGAGCATCATGGGCATCAATCTTGTCAATCCTGTCCTGCATTCTCTTTAGGTCAGTGATTTTTGCAACCAGGACCTCCTCGATTGCTCGTGGGCCAATGGGGGCACCCAGGAGAGTGCAGTCCGGTGGCTCGACAACGAGAATGTCTGGAAGAACATTTTGTATTTGCCCAGTGATGTCTGGGTTGCGGAAGATTATTTCACATTTGGATGCATTGAGAATGAGGCCTAAGGCTGCTCCCTGCTCCTGGATTTTCCTTATATCCTCCAAAATGGTTTCCGGAGTTCCAGCTAGAGTGCCATCATCCAGGTACCAGATGTTTAGCTCGCTTGTCAGACTATCAGTGACCTCTTTGATAGCTAGGCAGAAAAGGAGGGGGGCTAAGGGGTCACCTTGTTGGACACCTTCACAGGAGTTTATTTCATGCTCCCCAAAAAGAAGCTTAGAGTCCCCACTGTAGCACGATCGGATGAATGGGTAAGGGGACGGAAATGGTTGTGTACAGCCCTGAGGACAGCGTCTCGTCTGACTTGATTGAAGGCATTTTTGAAGTCAAGCTTTACTAGTGCCTTCTGGTCCGGGAGATCAGCAATGTAAGCCCGCGCTGCATGTGCTGCAGCTTCACAACCTAGGGGGATCCCAAACCCGAGCTGATGAGGTTTCAGCAAGGTGACTGCTTCCTGGCTGATAGATCTCACTGCAGCCTTAGCTACAAGGCGTCGAAGGGTATTGCCAACGGCAATGGGCCTGATACCCCTATCCTTCTTCTTTAGAGCACAGAGTGCTGCTCCATAAAAGACAGGCCTGATGTCCTCAGGGATGCCGCCAGCCAAACACATGTTGGAGAATCTGGTAAGTTCCACTAGAAGATCCTTTGCAGAATCTCCAAGCACCGGGTTCAGCATTTGTTTGATGTGCTGGGGTCTTAGGCCTGTAAAGCCCCCTGCTGAACCAGTTGGGAAAGACATGGCTGCTTTGTACACCTCAGATTCTCGAACAGTCAAGGGTTCTATGCCAGCATTGTTTTCCTGGGGATCCCTGCTGCTGTTGGGGGCTCTGGGTGGGTGTTTGTCTTGAAGAGCCTCTGCTGTCGTGGCGTTCCTGGGGGCAATAGTGTCATCGCTGGTCATGATTCTGATGGCACCTGGGGTATTGCTCTCTTCTATTTTCCTGGTGATCTGTGCTCTCATTTTGTGGTTCTCAGATGAGTTATTGTTGGTCGTCCTGCGGCTGGTGTTCTTGGCACGAGGGGGGAGGGGGACCAGGTTGTCTGCTCTGGGGAATTCATTAAGTGCCCTGATTACAGAGGTTGCTAATGACTTGTCTCTCCTGGGCGGTAATGCTAGGCATGCATTCCCAAATAGAAGGAGATTGTGCCACGGTCCAGAGGTTCTGGGAGCATTGTTGACCTTTGTCAGCAGACTGGTGAGTTTGGCTGCTGCTTGATGACGGGCAGCCTTGGGGATGTGGGGCAAGGTCCTGGTGGACGTCGCTTTGATTGCTTCAAGCAGATTATCTGCTGAAATGAAGTTGAGGGAGGTATTGTTCCTCGCTCCTGCAGCAGGTTGTCCATCGTCACTGCCCCGGGGCAGGCGCCTAGACCCTAGACAACCACCTGAATTGAGAGAATGATAGCGGACAGTTCCATTTGAATTGAGACGATACCGTATGTCACACACTTGACAGTTTCCTCTTGGGTGGCCATCTTCTTGGCTGGAAAGAGGCTGTGTGTCAGGTGCGACATGTGCCATGCCTAGATGTGATGACGCCTGGCTGCCCGCTGAGTGCACCCTCTCCTTCCCAGATGGAGAGTAACACGGCAAGCATTACCCTCCTGGGGGAGTTGGGCATGGCCTGGGCACCGTGTGTGGGTAGGCTGTGTGTTGATGGGTGGCTGGCTGGGTCGGGCGCAGGTAGCGGGGTGGGGGAAGATGGCGGGCGGGGGTGGTGGAGGGGGGGCACGCGAGGGAGGCCGCCGTCACACTTGTTACACACTATCAAACACTCGGGGAAATCACTAGTGCACTTTGTTTTAACACTACACTCACCAATTTGCTTATGAACGCACTAACTTTCCACTAACATCACTGTAGGCAGCTCGAGAGCCTCCCCCATCACTCCCCCCTTCACCCCGTACCCCGCCTTGGGGTATGATGTGCGCTCATACTGCGAGCGCCAGCCTTGGTTGCTCACTCACTACTGAGGCTCCCACACCCGGGAATGTGGACCACGAATTTTTTTATAGATGGCGTCTGTTTACAAGAGCCCTGAGGAAGCTGATGTGAACCCCATGTAGCCGCGGGAGTTTTGAATGGAACGTGAAAAATACAAATACCCGGAGGCGCGTTGCGCAAACCAGACGTGAGCCTGCAGGCGCGTTGCACAGTTTAAGGGTTAAGTAAATACACTTAGATAACCAAATTACACACATACAAGCACTTCACTTAAATTGAATTTCTAGTTACTTATTAGTTTAGATAAAGTGTAAATTTCAAATAAATTGCCTCATACACTAACCTTAACATGCCTTTGAGTTGATCACATGAGATATATTTGGTCGAGGCTGGGAAGTAAGTTGTGAGATTCCTTAATCTATCAATTTGAGTTGATGTCCACATTTTTAGCGAGCTTCTGATTTCCTGCCAGATAATTACCTTTTATTATTATACAAAATCTATAAGACTGGCACTGCAAAACATTACTTATATATAAAATAGACAAATAATATAATAATGTCCTGAAGAGACAGTGTCAATTTCATGGAAAGCTCAGATAAAAGGGTAATTACTTATATTAAAAATTCAGGTAAATTAAAGTGAAGTTCCCAAAGGAATCAATTAACACTTTCGCGGCCCGATGACGGTGTCGACGTCATAAAACCAAAATACGGAGTAGGCCCGATGATGCAACCTGCGTCAACAATTAAAAATTTGAAAAAATAAAAATTATTGTCCAAAATATTATGGGACTGTTTTTAAAATGCGCACCATGATATTGCAAACAATTTGATACCAAAATGAATGATGTAGCATGAAAATTGACGTGTGAAAGCTGAAAAAAGAGTATAAACGTTTGAGTGTGCTTTGGACGGTCACAGCTAACAAGTGGATTAATAAATTTGTAAAAAAAAACAGCGTTGAATGCAATGAAATGCCATTTTCTGGGTAAGCCCCGGAGGCACCCTGGAGCTTATCGGGCTAATGTATGTTATATTAGACCGGGACATTAGCATAAGGAGTTCAGACCTACCAGGGACCAGCACCTGAACCTGGCCCCCTTCAGAGAGGTTTCAGGGAGCAATGGCCCTGAAAAAACCCCTTGTGGTTGGGGTTTTCCTTATCTGCCATCGATCAGGGTTAGGCACCCAGAAAGGTAGGCATAACAAAACAAACCCCACATGGTAAAACCTAAAACAAAAAACCGAACAGAGAGGTAGAAACTCCCTACAATCCCAAGGAAACAAGCAAATAAACAAACATCACACTTTACTGCCGCACCGATCGTCTGCGCAGCCCTCCCTGCCGCGAGAGGGGGAGGGGGAAGCCCAGGACCTACTGCGCCAGCTGCCTAGCATCAGTTCGGAAGCTAAGCTTCAACCAACGTGAAAAAAACGCCGACCGGTGGGAGGATAGGTTACCAGGGAGCCTTCTGGGTTCAACCAGAAAATGGCGTTTCATTACATTCAACACTGGTTTTCTGTGGGGGAGCCTCTACGGCACTCTGGAGCTTCATACCCAAAGAGAAGGAAAAGATAGGGCTGACCCGGGAGGCAGCCACTACAAACTCCGTAACGCGAAGCCGAGACAACAGGCTGCAACCTGCGACCCAAGGCAACAAGAACGCACAGGAGCAGACGCCCATAAAAAATGGGCGGCCAAGAGCCTGTGCGACCCTCAAATCCCTGCGCCCGAAATGAACCCTAGACGTCACCAACACAGCAGCGAAAGCTGCAAACGTCCGAACAGCATGGGCGCAAGGACAGACCGCAGGCTGGAAGACTTAAAAACTCTGCGGACGACCTAGGAGACCCGAGCCCTGAAACAGGGAACGAAGGGAACCAGATCAACCCAAAGTGCACCCCCAGACACGGTACGCAGGTAACGGCAAAAAAGCGCAACCGAACAACACAGGACGCACCCCCGGCCGAACCAATCAAGCATCAATATCCCAAGAACCCCTTCGGAAAGCAACCGTCTCAACTGTCGCCAGAAGGACGGAGAAAGGCTGGAAACGTACAAATAATAATAATAATAATAATATAATAATAATAATAATAATAATAATAATAATAATTTTTATTTAGGTAATGTACATACATAAAGAGATTTTACAAAGTTTGTTGGCTTTATAGATAGAGCTAGTACATACAATGCCTAAAGCCACTATTACGCAAAGCGTTTCGGGCAGGAAAAACATTAATGACTAAAGCTTACAACTAATGGGTAAAAAGAATAAAATGTGTTGAGTACAAATAAAAATAGAGGTAAAAGAGGGGGGAACATTGTTGAAAAAGCAGCACAAATACATTACAAATTATTACAGAAAATTACATTCAAACAGCGTTGATTTGGGAAAAAAAAAAAAAAAAAAAAAAAAAAAAAAAAAAAAAAAAAAAAAAAAAAAAAAAAAAAAAAAAAAAACATACATGGGTTGACAACAGAGGGGTAAGGTAGGTTACAGGGAATTTATTAGTTATAGCTTCGTTTTTAACTTAAACTGGTTGAGAGAGGTACAGTCTTTAACATGGTTGGGAAGGTCATTCCACATTCTGGGCCCCTTGATTTGTAGAGCATTTCTCGTTTGATTAAGTCGTACTCTAGGAATATCAAAACTGTATTTATTTCTGGTGTGGTGCTCATGGGTTCTGTTACAACCTTCTATGAAGCTTTTGAGATCAGGATTGGCATTATAGTTTAGCGTTTTATATATGTATAATACACATGAGAGAATGTGCAGTGACTTAATGTCTAACATATTCAGAGATTTGAGTAGGGGTACCGAGTGATGTCTGGGGCCAGAATTGGATATTGTCCTAATAGCAGCTTTATGTTGAGTAATTAGAGGACGTAAGTGATTTTGGGTAGTAGAGCCCCAAGCACAAATACCATAGTTGAGATATGGATAGATAAGGGAGTAATAGAGTGTCACCAGGGCAGGGCGTGGTACATAATATCTGATCTTAGAAAGAATTCCCACAGTTTTTTTAACTTTTTTTGATATGTTTAGAATGTGTCCCTGGAAATTCAGCTTGTGGTCAATGAGAATGCCAAGGAATTTGCCATCTAATTTGTTACAAATTTGGGTATTGTTTATTTTGAGATTTATTTGATTAGAGGATTTATTGCCAAACAGAATATAGAAAGTTTTGTCAATGTTAAGGGTGAGTTTGTTGGCAGTTAGCCACAGATGGACTTTATTTAGCTCAGTATTTACTGTGGCATTTAGAGCAAGGGGATCAGGACTGGAGTAAATGAAGGTTGTGTCGTCAGCAAATAGAATTGGTTTGAGGTGTTGGGAGGCATTTGGAAGGTCATTAATGTAGATGAGAAAGAGGAGAGGGCCAAGTATGCTGCCCTGGGGAACACCAATGTTGATGGGTAGGGTGGGAGAAATTGTATTATTCACAGAAACACATTGGAGCCTGTCAGTAAGGTAGGATTTGAGGTATTGAAGGGAATGTCCTCTGACACCATAATGATGTAATTTAAGAAGAAGGTTTTGGTGGTTGACAGTATCGAAAGCTTTACGCAGGTCCACAAATAACCCAACAGGGAACTCATTTTTATCAAGAGCTGTATGAATCGAGTTAAGCATACTAATAAGTGCATCGTTAGTGCTTTTTTTGGGCCTGAAGCCATATTGGCAAGGGCTAAGTATATTGAGTTTGGCTAGATATGAGTAAAGCTGCTTATAGATTAGTTTTTCAAAAATTTTTGACAAGTTTGGCAGGATTGGTATAGGTCTGTAGTTGGTAACATCTGTGAGATCACCACATTTGTGGACAGGCGTTACTCTCGCTTTTTTTAGAATATCTGGAAAGGTTTGGAGTTCAAGTGACAAACCTACCACCAGTACCAAAGAGCAGAAACCTGAACTGAAGGGGCTACCACAAACTGAGGAGAAGATAAGAAGGCACCCTGATCAAGGACCAGGACGGCTCATGCGACGCATGAGAAGGCTAAAGGTGAAACAAAACACGAGAAAGCGTACGAAACGGGGCAGATGTAACGCCCACCCCGAATGCAAGTCGGAGCGGCTCCGCCAGCGCTGCACAAAACAAGGCGACAGTAAGAAACATCAAATAACTGTAGTCCTGAAAACCCAAGAAAGGACAAGACAACCCGATGCAAAAGAGAAGACAACCTATGAAGAGCAAGAAAAAAGTGCATAGAAACACCAGGAACGTCATACTGTCACCGAGACGAAGCTCACAGGTGGGACACCATCAACAAAGCCACCTGATTACCCCAGAGATGGTGATACCCGCGTCAAAATACCAGACGTGAAGAGCCGAGGAGAAGGCCGAACCAGTCACGTACAGGACCGGTCCGACCTGCCGAAAGAGGCGGAGCCGCGGGAAAACGCCCCCGGTTCGGACACCTATCAAGCAGTGTTTGAAAATAAAGCTGGGCCGGGCACCAAGGGACGTTAAGGACTACTCTCGTGGGAATGGCTCCAACTGAGCCAGAACCCGAAGAAACAGCTGGATCAGAAGAGGAACAGGTACCCTGTGGTTCCGGCAAAGAACCGCCACAGAACAGTCCGAATGGAGCTAAATGATAGAGCACCGAGTGACTCAAACCCTCCGAAGTGCAAACCAGACAGCCACGAACTCCCAAACCGTGCTGTGAGCCCGCAAACGAACAGGCCCCACCATCCCCGCCGACCTGGTGAACACTGGTCACAAAGCCCCAGCCGAGAGATGATCCGTCCGTGAACACATCGAGCGAAGGATCGGGAGGGTGCCAAGGCACAGAACCCCGAAAACCCCAAAGAGGAAGCTGGTGACGCAGCACCAACACAAGATCCCCGGAGGAACGAACCCAACGACTGCAGAAGCCCACCCCACCAGCAAGAGAGGTGGAAGGGGAATCTCCGAAGGAACCAAACAGACACCGAAGCCAAAGCCGACCCCGCAGGCAGACCAGCACATCGAAGTTCAGACTCCCACACAACTGCTCGAGCAACCGCTGAGCAGCCTGGGACCCCCTCAAGAAATCCGAAGGCGGGACCACAGCCGCAGCAACACTTCTGGAGGGGAAAGATAAGGAGCGGCCCAAGAGCAATAAACAAGACCCAGCCAGGTCTGAATCCAGGACGGAACCAGATGGAAAGGCCTCTAAATCACCAGGAAACCAAACCCAGCGATCTGGAAAGAACCACACCCCTGACGAGCAGACAAGCGGACTGACTGGGAGCTCACACCAGCCAGTTGTCGAGGTAGGTCAGACACCGAATCCCAAGCAGACTCAGACAGGGCACCAAGATCCGGTAAAGATGCAAAAATACACCAAGTGCCAATTACAAAATAGGGAAGGCAACAAAAGCGGCAAGCCTGAAGCCCCACCACCAACTGTGCCAGTCCCGGAAAACTGGAGAGGAACGTGCCAAGACCTGGAGGTCCAGGTCCTCCACCTCC